AAAGACATGTTGAAGAATTCAGTAAAAAGGGACTAATAAGAGAATCTCAGTCACCTTGGGCCTTCCCCGTAGTGTTGGTCTCTAAAAAGGATGGTTCACAAAGGATTTGCATAGATCACCGAAAACTGAATGCAATTACAATTGATTACAAGCAGCCTCTTCCATTCATCCAAGATATTTTTGATCGCTTACATAATGCGAAATACTTCACAACACTTAACATAGCATGGGGCTATTGGCATGTTGAAATACATCCAGACTCTGTTGAGAAAACTGCTTTCATTACAAATGACGGGCATTATGAATTTTTGGTTATGCCATTTGGCTTGAAAAATGCTCCAAGTACTTTTCAGCGAATAATTCAGCATATTATTGGAAATCTTCTTTGGAACGGTGTTTGTAATTATCAAGATGATATTCTAATTTACAGCAGTACTTTTAAAGATTATATTGAACTCATGAAGAAAATATTTGACAAGCTTAAAGAAAACAATATCAAACTCAAGTTGAAGAAATGCTCCTTTGCAAAACAAGAAATAAGATATTTAGGTCATATCATAGGACATAACAAGATTAAACCTGACCCTGAAAAAACAAAGGCAATAAATGAGTTCCCTCAACCTAAAACAGTGAAGCAAGTAAGGCAGTTTTTGGGTTTAGCAGGTTACTACAGGAAATTTATTCCTAAATTTAGTGAAATTGCAGATCCATTAACAAGCCTCACAAGAAAAAATAAGTTATTCAAATGGACTACTGAAGTTAACAAATCATTTCAGGAACTAAAGTCTCATTTATCCACAGATCCAGTTCTTTCTACATATGATCCTTCTTTACCATGTAAGCTTTATACAGATGCATCTAAACTGGGAATTGGTGCTATTTTAGCTCAAATTGGAAATGATAATGAAGAACATGTAATTTCCTATTATTCAGGGAAACTTCTACCACATCAACAGAACTATTCTGCATTTGAGTTGGAATGCTTTGCTGTAGTTCAATCAGTTGAATACTTTGAAGTTTATCTTGAGAACAATACATTTGAAGTCATTACAGATCATTCGGCTTTGGAATGGCTCTTCAACGTAAAGAAACCAAAGGCAAAATATCTCCGATGGATAATTGAATTATCAACCAAGTCAATGAAAATAGTTCACAGATCAGGATCAAAGCAAACGCATGTTGATGCATTGTCAAGATCACCAGTGTCATTTCATATATCAATCCCCACTCTTCGACTACACCAACAAAAAGCGGATCTCAGTTTTGTAAAGAACTCTCATATTCATCGAGATCTTATTATGGTGAAACATAATGGAACTCTAAAAACAGTTGTTCCAGAATCATTCCAAGAAGAAATTCTCAAAGAATACCACGATAATCATTCTCACCCCTCAATTAACAAGACAGTAAGATTGATAACACCATTTTATTGGTGGCCGAATGCTATCAGATGCATCAAAGACTATGTTCGCTCATGTAAAATATGTCAAATAACTAAATGCAGTCATAAACCATTTATTGGAGAATATGTTGCACCAAACTCTGATCTGAAACCAATGGAATTAATATCAATGGATACTATTGTGCTAGGCTCTGCAGCAAATGAAACCAAGCACAAATACATTCAAGTAATAATTGACCACCTAACAAGATTTGTTTGGGCTTTCCCTACTGTCACCAACACTTCTCAAGCAGTAATTCAATGTTTAGACAAAATCAACAAAACTGTTCCCCAAATCAAATGTATTTTAACCGACAACGGAAAGAATTTTACATCAAAATAATTTAACAAGTTTTTGAATGAGCATCAAGTTCAACACACCTATTCGACGCCATATCATCCGCAGAGTAATGGACTGTGTGAAAAGATGAATGACACTATACTCACCAAATTAAAAAACCTTCAAGAGAATCCAAGACTAAAATGGTCATCATTACTTGCCAAAATTGTGAAATATTATAATAGCACACCCCATGATGTCACTGGGTTTTCTCCAAATTTCCTACATTTTGGTGATTGTGCAATACCAGAATTTTCTGAATCACCACATTTCACCATAGAAAATGCAAGGAAGGAAGCAATATAAAATAGCGCAAAGCATAGAGAAAAGTGGAAAGCACGACACGATGAAAAACATCCGCAGTCGTCATTCAAAGTTGGTGATCTGGTCCTTCGTAAAATAGCTAGTAATGATCCAAGTATGGTCAAAACATCCCCAAAGTATGAGGGTCCTTTTCAAATAACAAGAATAATATCTAGTGTTACGTGTGAATTATTGAAAGATGATTCCTCTTGGTTAAAGTTCATGTGTCACAATTGAAACCATTTATTTTGCGAAAATAAATCCTTCAAGCCGAGGGATATGACACGTTTCTGAATTTTGTAATTAATTTTGTAATTGGTTTTTCATTGATTTTTAATGTGTGATCAATAACTCTTATCATCATTGGAAAAAAAAGATTAATAAACAAAAGAACAACAACATGGTAAATTTGCCTCTTTATTTAAAACAAACAAACAAATTAGATAAAGATTTAAAATAAAACATTTCTCTAAAAGTTAAAGCAAAAATAAAACGTTACAATATAAATAAAAAATATCTAGAGATATACTACATGATCTTAGCCAAAGGCCGAGAAACGATATTTTATATATTGAGATAACCTGGCTTCGTGTGTCTTCTGCTCGAGTGAATGTTTCGCTGGTAGAATTTTGTTCTAGCCTACTAATATTTTATTATCTGGCTTCTCCGTGGTCTGCCTTAGTGAATATTCCCCTAAAGAATTTTGTTTATGTCAATCAAGCATGATACAGTAATATTATCATCATCATTTCTGACTAAAAAAATATTGTTGCTCAGTACTTGGCTAATTATAATTTTTCTTGGTTAAAATTGCGAAAAAAACTCTTCCAGATTTAACTCTCTGTCCTGTTCAAATTTCAGCGAGATTAGTTACATATTATGGGCGTGCATAGCCGACAAACAAATATATATATTGTAACAAAGTATTTATTAATTTTATTATTTTTATTAACAGAGTGGTCATTTTTAGGTTTATATTTTGCTACTCTGTAATTTTTCCTCGTGGCTTATCTTTTGTTTGCCTTTCTTTTAGTTTGTCCTTCCCTGAGTAAATTTTGTTTCCTCCTGAAGTTTTTGTCTTCCCTAATTTTCCACGTGGCATTTTGGTGGAGATGCTGGGTAAGTTAGGGAAGAAAAACTGAAGATCGCCGAGAAGACCTTGAAGCCATGGGTGTTGTGATCTACATTTTCGGAGACTGACTCCAGGATTCCACCGTCGTGCCAAAGCCAAGACTTCCCTCGAAGATGACGATGTCCCTATAGACGATACGACGACAAAGCCGCTCTTCACGCCGCAAGAAAAAAGACGCAAAGGTACTAGGGACAAAGTTCCAAGACTTCGATGGAATCCTTGGCAGAAGCACGTCAGATCCATGTCAGTATCTACAATAATTGCTAGCTGTGGGTCACAGCTGCCATAGAGAAGAAGCTATTTAACAAAGTATTTATTAATTTTATTATTTTTATCTACAGAGTGGTCATTTTTTTGTGTTTATATTTTGCTACTCTGTAAATTTCTCTCGTGGCTTATCTTTTGTTTACACTTCATTGTTTGTTCTTGCCTGAAATAAATTGTTGTCTCCTCCTTAAGTTTTTGTCTTCCCTAATTTTCCACGTGGCAATATGTTCCCAGCTTCGCCCGGTTTTTACCTGAGTAAAGGTTTGCCTAACGAATATTTGTTAAAACGATTCTAGCAAACATTCAATCCCTACTGAATCTATACTTGTCTATACTCTCGATAATTTGAAAAATTTCAATATTAATTGGTCCACTCGGTAATTTGAAGTTGAAGGAATAGTATATTGCCACAAACGAACATTTGTATAACAACTGTATTTGTAAAACGACACTTGAAGTTACACCGCAAGAGTTTCTTTTCAACGACAAATTATTATTATTTTTTTTTAATTTCAAGGTGAAATATCGACTATTTCTAGCCTTTTTGGATGAGGAATGAAAGGATGAAATATTAAGAGTAATGACGACGGAAAAATAAAAGTGTCCAGGGATGGGAATCGAACCCACAATGTTCCGCTTACCGGCCAGATGCCATGTCCACTAGGCTACCCTGGACGTATTTTTCCGTTCTTAAATGATACATAAAGTAACTTATAATACAATATATAATACACTGCGGCCTGTAATTGTAAAACGACACTTGAAGTTACACCGCATGAGTTTCTTTCCAACGACAAATTATTTTTTTTTTTTATTTCAAGGTGAAATATCGACTATTTCTAAGCTTTTTAGATGAGGTATGAAAGGATGAAATATGAAGAGTAATGACGAAGGGAAAAATAAAAGTGTCCAGGGATGGGAATCGAACCCACAATGTTCCGCCTACCGGGCAGATGCCATGTCCACTAGGCTACCCTGGACGTATTTTTCCGTTCTTAAATGATACATAAAGTAACTTATAATACAATATATAATACACTGCGGCCTGTTTTTGTAAAACGACATTTGCAGTTACACCTCATGAGTTTCTTTTCAACGACAAATTATTTTTTTTTATTATTTCAAAAGGATATATCGACTATTTCTAACCTTTTTGGATGAGGTATGAAAGGATGAAATATGAAAGTAATGACGAACGGAAAAATAAAAGTGTTCAGGAATGGGAATCGAACCCAACAATGTTCCGCTTACCGGGCAGATGCCATGTCCACTAGGCTACCCTGGACGTATTTTCCCGTTCGTAAATTATACATAAAGTAACTTATATTACAATATGTAATACACTGCGGCTTGTAATTGTAAAACAACACTTGAAGTTACGCCGCATGAGTTACTTTTCAACGACAAATTATTATTTTTTTTTATTTCAAGGTGAAATATCGACTATTTCTAACCTTTTTGGATGAGGTATGAAAGGATGAAATATGAAGAGTAATGACGAACGGAAAAATAAAAGTGACCAGAGATGGGAATCGAACCCACAATGTTCCGCTTACCGGGCAGATGCCATGTCCACTAGGCTACCCTGGACGTATTTTTCCGTTCTTAAATGATACATTAAGTAACTTATAATACAATATATAATACACTGCGGCTTGTAATTGTAAAACAACACTTGAAGTTACACCGCATGAGTTTCTTTTAAACGACAAATTAATTAATTAATTTTTTATTTCAAGGTGTAATATTGACTATTTCTAACCTTTTTGGATGAGGTATGAAAGGATGAAATATGAAAAGTGATGACGAACGGAAAAATAAAAGTGTCCAGGAATGGGAATCGAACCCACAATGTTCCGCTTACCGGGCAGATGCCATGTCCACTAGGCTACCCTGGAAGTATTTTTGCGTTCGTAAATGATACATAAAGTATTTATAATACAATATATTGTTACTACTCTTCTTAGCCGTCGATGTTTGCGTGCAAGGTTCCTGAGAAGACAATGTGGGTTCGTTTTGTAAGCAGGTGTGTTGAATCTTTGCATATTTGCTCTTTCATATTTGCTCTTTGCATGTTTGCTCTTAGCATGTTTGATCATTGTTGCTATTTAACCTATTTGTGCCAGCTATATATATAACGTATGGATTGAGTTGGCGGTGTGTGCCAGTCCAGCCTTGGGATAAGAATAGTCTTGTTACCTAATCCGACTTTTGCTAATATAGGTTTATCCTGACAAATAAAAAGTATTTGTTTAAAACATGGTGACAGTAGTGACTGGATAAAATACGAACCCGTATATTGCAAAGTAACGTTTTGGTGTACCTTGGAAGATAATTCAACATGGCTCAGAATCAACCTCCAGAAACTTTCGACTTCTCGACTCCCAACGAATGGCCCAAATGGAGGAAGAGATTCGAACGATACCTCGTGGTCAGTGGAATGAAGAAGAAAGAGGAGGCTGACAAGATCGATTTGCTCATTTACTTGATGGGTGACCGCGCGGATGATATATTCAGGACCTTTAGGTTCGAAAAGGAGGAAGAGGCAACGAAAATTGATTCCGTCCTCAATGCGTTCGACGGCCACTTCTGTGTCAGAAATAATATTATCTACGAACGTGCGAAATTTAATTCAAGAATCCAAGAGGATCGGGAGCTAGTGGACGAATTCATCACTTCATTGTACAAATTGGCTGATAGTTTCGAATTTGAGAGTCTTCATGAGCAGTTGATCCGTGACCGAATAGCGGTTGGAGTGAGGGACAAAGCGTTATCTGAAAGAATGCAGTTGGACAGCGAACTGACTTTGGAAAAGGCTGTGAAAATGGTTCGACAGCAGGAAGCCGTTCGACAACAGCAAGTCGACCTGCAGCGTCCCTCAACAAGCCAAAAGGTCAACCAGGTGAGGTTCAACTCGAGAAAACTTTCACTGAAACAACAACAGCAGCCTTCGAGGAAGAAGGAGAAGTCAGCCAAAACAAGAACAAGATGTCCAAAATGCGGAGGTTGCACCCACAGGGAAGGACAGGCTTGCCGTGCTGGAGGAAAAAGATGTAACCTATGTTCAAAAACTGGCCATTTTGCAAATTCCTGCCCAGATAAGCAGGCGAAGACTGCGGAAGTCAAAGCTGTTTCTGAACTTGATGAAGAAATTGGTTTTCTCCTGGATGTCTCAGCTGTGGAGGATTCATCTAATCTCGATGATGATGAAGGCGAGTGCAGGAGGCGATGGACAGCAGAAATCCAAGCAAACGGGAAACAGGTGAAGTTCAAGCTCGACTCCCAGGCGGATGTTACATGTGTTCCTCTGTGTCTCTTCAAAAAGATAATGGAACAGCAACGACTAGTGGAAAGTGATATCAACATTAGAGCTGCTGAATTTTCCGAACTTCAGACTGTGGGTATGTTTATATCAACGCTGCGAAATGGCAATTATGAAATCAAGGAGAAGATTTATGTCATTCGTCGTTTGAGTGAACCTCTTCTGAGTCGCCGGGCATGTGAGCTCTTGAACCTGGCGAGGCGAATTGAAGTGGTTGCGACGAAAATTACCCCATCAAGGAATTCTCCGAAGTATTTGAAGGACTGGGACAGATCGGAAACCCTTACGAAATTAAATTGAAACCTGGATCAAAACCATATGCTATGCATACACCTCGACGGGTACCAATACCTTTGATGGAAAAGCTCAAAACAATATTTGAAGAGCTCGAGAAAGCGGGAATCATAGCATAAGTTAACGTTGCGACTGAATGGTGTGCACCGACTGTGATTGCTGGTAAACCGAATGGCGACATACGACTCTGTGTGGAACTCTCAAGGCTGAACGAACATGTACAGCGCGAAGTGCATCCCATGCCAGTGGTGGAGCACATGCTGGGGCAACTGGGGGAAACAAAATTCTTTTCGAAACTGGGCGCGAACAGTGGCTTTCACCAGATTCCGTTGAGCCCAGACTGCCAGCATTTAACGACCTTCATCACTTCTTTTGAGAGATATAAATTATGCAGGATGCCATTTGGAATCTCAATCGCCCCAGAGTATTTTCAGAGAGTTATGTCAATAATCTTGCAAGGCATGGACGGTGTAATGTGTTATCTGAACGATATCCTGATATTTGCCTCCGACTCCAAGACTCACGATCGAATTCGTCGTTTAGTGCTCCGAAAACTAAAAGAGGCGAAAGTTACACTAAACAAGGCCAAGTGTGTCTTCGGCGTGCCAAGAATTAATTTTTTTGGGAACATACTGGATAAAGACGGTATTCGACCAGATCCAGCGAAAATCGAAACAGTGACGAAGATGCCTGCTCCGACCGATTATCATGGCGTAAGAAGATTTCGGCATGGTGAACCATCTGGGACGCTTTGTAGAAAACTTATATGAAATATTGGCTCCACTGAACCAGTTGTTGATGAAAGGCCAAGACTTCGTTAGGGATTGCAGCCAGGAGCGAGCATTCCGAAAGTTGAAAGAATTGCTCACGACTCAACTATGTCACCTACCGAAAAACTATATGCTCAGATCGAGAAAGAGGCTCTCGCAATTACATGGGCTTGCGAAGTTTTCAATATTTCCTGCTTGGAAAGCGTTTCCAAATTGAGACCGACCATAAGCCTCTCATTCCTCTATTTTCGACGAAAGAATTGAATTCGCCGACCCCAAGACTGCAACATTTCCGAATGCGTATGATGAGATTTAGATTCGAAATAGTGTATACCCCTGGAAAGGAGCTGCTCGACGCCGATGCATTATCCAGACAACCACTTCTTACAACCGAGGGAGGTGAAGACGAACGGCTAACCTCAGCGCAGTTCTCTCGTGTATAACCGACAAAGACGAGATGTTGACGAGGGTTTTTGTAGCTCAACAAGAAGATACAACCCTGAAATCAGTAGTCAACTACCTTTAGCAAGGTTGGCCAGATAAGAAGAAGATATCACAGGCTCTGCTCTCTTATTGGCATGTCAAGGATGAACTCGTCCAGCAAGTATGAAACTGGAGATCCTGGATAAGTTGCACGCTGGGCACTTCGGGATTACAAAAACAAGACTTCGCATGTACCGCTTACCGGGCAGATGCCATGTCCACTAGGATGTATTGGACGTATTTTTCCCTTCGTAAATGATACACAAAGTAACTTATAATACAATATATAATACACTACTGCCTGTAATTGTAAAACGACACTTGAAGTTACACCGCATGAGATTCTTTTCAAAGATAAATTATTATTTTTTTATTTCAAGGTGAAATATCGATTATTTCTAACCTTTTGGATGAGGTATGATGGATGAAATATGAAGAGTAATGACGAACGAAAAAATAAAAGTGTCCAGGGATGGGAATCGAACCCACAATTTTCCGCTTACCAGGCAGATGTCATGTCCACTAGGCTACCCTGGACATATTTTTCCGTTCGTAAATGATACATAAAGTAACTTATAATACACTGCGGGCTGTAATTGTAAAACGACACTTGAAATTACACCGCATGAGTTTCTTTTCAACGACAAATTATTATTTTTTTTTTTATTTCAAGGTGAAATAACAACTATTTCTAATCTTTTTGGATGAGGTATGAAAGGAACGGAAAAAATACGTCCAGAGTAGCCTAGTGGAAATGGCATCTGCCCGGTAAGCGGAACATTGTGGGTTCGATTCCCACCCCTGGACACTTTTATTTTTCGGTTCGACATTACACTTCATATTTCATCCTTTCATACTTCATCCAAAAAGGTTAGAAATAGTCGATATTTCACCTTGATATTTAAAAAATAATAAATTGTCGTTGAAAACTCATGCGGTGTAACTTTAAGTGTCGTTTTACAATTACAGGCCGCAGTGTATTACATATTGTATTATAAGTTACTTAATGTAACATTTAAGAACGGAAAAATACGTCCAGGGTAGCCTAGTGGACATGGCATCTGCCCAGTAAGTGGAACATTGTGGGTTCGATTCCCATCCCTGGACACTTTTATTTTTCCGTTCGTAATTACTCTTCATATTTCATTCTTTCATACCTCATCCAAAAACGTTAAAAATAGTCGATATTTAACCTTGAAATAAAAAAAAATAATTTGTCGTTGAAAAGAAACTCATAAGGTGTAGCTTCAAGTGTCGTTTTACAATAACAGGCCGCAGTGTATTATATGTTGTATTATAAAATATTTTATGTATCATTTACGAACGGAAAAATACGTCCAGGGTAGCCTAGTGGACATGGCATCTGCCCGGTAAGCGGAACATTGTGAGTTCGATTCCCTTCCCTGGACACTTTTATTTTTCCGTTCGACATTACTCTTCATATTTCATCCTTTCATACCTCATCCAAAAACGTTAGAAATAGTCGATATTTCACCATGAAATAAAAAATAATAATAATAACTTGTCGTTGAAAATAAACTCATGCGGTGTAACTTCAAGTGTCGTGTTACAATTACAGGCCGCAGTGTATTATATGTTGTATTATAAGTTACTTTATGTTTAATTTACGAACGGAAAAATACGTGCAGGGTAGCCTAGTGGAAATGGCAACTGCCCGTTAAGCGGAACATTGTGGGTTCGATTCCCATCCCTGGACACTT